AAAATCATATCTCTCTCACTTATAAGCCAGCAAAAGGCTCACAGCCTCAACACTGAATGTCCCCCAACAACGTAGTCACCAAGGAAGGGATAATTAGTATCAGCTGAGACTACATCAAAGCTAATAAGTCGCTCACTTCTATCTATTTCACAGTACATCCGCTAGTTGTAAACATCTTCTGTAGGTGATGGAATAGACCATAGATAGCTTCCACGGTATTCTCAATACCTAGTCGATGTGCAGGACGATAATGCACCTTCCTCAGGGAGGTGCAGAAGTGCAGAGGTCCACATGGAGCCTCCCTGTGCGCTGTCTTTGCTTGCTCCGTAATTAATGCCCCTCACTTAAAAACTTTACCGGGTTCCTCCAGGAACTTGCACCCCACTGGCGAAATCACCCTGATTCAGATTATTGAGCAATAGAGTAAACTAACGCAACGCCAGCTAATCTAGTAAATCGAAGCTGTAAATTAAGTTGTGAGAAGTCTTCGCAGCAATATCCGCAACATGATTCTCGTGTAAGACGTTCGGTTCTTAGTTTTCATTACAAACCGCCAATGAGCCATTCGACAGTCACCTGAAGACGAGTAGCAGCTCTGATATCAGTTAGATAGGCCATTTGTTGAGCTACACAACAAAGCAGGCCGATGTTAAGAGTCGTCATCCATGATGTCCAATCACGCATTTCATACTTCGCTATCGACTGAACCAAGTCGCTCACCATCTGCTGGGAACTACGTTCCTAAGGAGGCACTGTAACATCCACTACAACATTTTATTTCTGTACACTGTTACCTGGGAGGGAACCTTTCCGTCAGGTCATAGAGTTCTCGAATCGAAATGACAAGTTTGGTATCTTTCATGGAGCTACTTACTTTAACACAAAGGAAGTGACTGTAGTCGTCGAGATGTGTTATGGGGAGTGTTCCTCTCTAGTACAGATCATAATTTATGATCACATGGGCCAACTGCTGAGCGACACTTCCCTCCGAACTCAACCACCAAGGCAAGAATTGACCGTTGATCAGCAGCAGTGCATTTTGGAGCTACGTACAAAGTTGATTAATGGTCTCGTATTCGGAACCGATGATCGCGGCTATGAAATGTTTTGTAAAACACCTGGAGTACCACAGGCTGATTGTGATGGTCATCCTCTCTGTTTCATTGCGCCAGCATCTGTAAAAGAATTGAAGGAAGTTCTGAAGGTTGCGAGATCCCGTGGTGTGCCTCTAGTGATACGGCGAAATAACACAAAGGTGTTGAATGGTGATGGTGCTATCGTATGTGATTTATCGGACCTATACACAGATTATGAATTTGGTCAATTAAAGGGAGTCACTATCATTCTAAGGGCCGAGATAGGGCTCTCAGATGAGGAAATCAAGGATATCGCTGGGCATCGTGGCTTACACATTGGAAAAGCTATCATGATAGATGTTATGACAGTCGGAGGGAGGAGCCTGTCAGCTGATAATACGATGAATAGCGCCGTTTATTGGCAATATATTAATAGTGGTTGTAACCCTGTTCTGGAAGAGGGGATTGTCAGGGAGGTTTACTTCTCCTTATATCATTGAAATCTTTAAAACGGAAAAACTTGTGTTCGAGTGTCCTAACATCACGACTTGAAGAACATGAAAAGAGAAGGGTAATTCGATGTAGTTGAGGAAAAAACTATCTGTCAGATAGTATCTGATAAGGATTGCGCGTGTACTAGAAGTCGCGTACTGTATGTAGAACCAGGAAGGGACACCAGCTCATGTTCAATAGTGGAAGACTAAGGCGCTGTGGCTGCGACCAAAGCTCAGAATGACTAACCGAGAGCATCCTCCTGAGAACTCAACACAATTGATTGGTCTATGGATTGAGCTAGAGATGAGGCTAGAGATGAGGCTAGAGATGAGGCTAGAGATGAGGCTAGAGATGAGGCTAGAGATGAGGCTAGAGATGAGGCTAGAGATGAGGCTAGAGATGAGGTTAGAGGAAGTTTTACAAGCCCTAAGGCAGAGTCGTTGCAGAGGGAGAGGCTTTGGTGTGCCTTCGTCAGCGACGCTGCCGCAGCGTCATGCTCTCCAGAGATGGTGGAGGAGTATAGAATATAAAAAAGCATGGACGAGGATACACTTGTGGGCTTTGCATTAGACGAAGGATAGTGATGCTCTACTATCTTGTTGCGTTATATTAAGTATCGTTAGTGGGAATCTCCCAATAGACAACTCGGTATGAAAGAGGCGGTGCGTTAGGTCGTCCTAGGTTATTCGTAAGTATTATTCCAACTCGTTATTTATCAGACTTGAAGCGTTCGGAATTCCTCATCATCAGGTGGAAGAGGTCTTTCTCCACATAGAGAGTGCTGGTGTGACGAGAGATAGCAGCGGCACTACAAACATGGTCGTTGTAGTATAAGGGATCATCCTGTATCATGTGTTTTATCCAGATTAGTGTCTAATTCAAATTGATATCATACAGTAGTCATTCATATTTCAATAGCCTCCCTTCTCTAGCTGCTGTTGCGGTTGCTATGAGGTTCTCAGAGTAGCTTACAATAATATTCGATTACTTAACGTCATCATCGTGCCAGTCACGTAATATGGCAATAGGCGACCATGATCGAGTGCCCATTCGGGGCTCAGAAACGAAGAGTATCTTTATTCCTTGATCAATGTCTTCCATACTGAGAGTTTGTGATAACGGTGATTGATGATAATGAGATGAATATAATGTCGGTGATACAGATGATGATGATGCGTCTCAAGAGTCGGTGGGATAGAGCTCTAGGATGATACCTAGGAAGGCCTAATCCATCAACAAGAGTTATAACTGAACGGGGGATCCACATCGGAAATTATTCGAACTGATTCTCCTGAGGGTGAGCATATTCGTCCATAAGTACATGTATGAACTAGGATATCGAGTTTATAATACCATCAAGAAACACATGATATCTTCAGCATCATTATCGGTTTTATTTTCCCCACCTTTATCATCCTTCTCATAATCTTATCAGCAGTAGCAAAAGAAGAGCTTGGTTCAGCAAATATCAAGTTGCAATATTTAATATCATTTAAAAGATTGGTAAATAGATGATAGGATCATTTGGGAATAATAATTATGCTGTTGTTTACGTGCATGCGTATACCTATAATATATAAAGTATATGCCAGTTTCATCATTTACTGAAGATATTCAAGAAATTTCTATCCAATACGACTATGAGACACTTGAAAAGCTACTGAAAATTTTGATACAAGGAATTTGATTTGTGATCATCGGCGGGAGGAAGAGAGGCGCCATTACGTTAACTCCAAAGAGCTCACTGAGCTCAGCTCAGCTTGCAGCGTACTTGGCTATTGTTATACTATTAATAGAAGTAATGAAATGATTTGTTCTGAAATAGCTGTGTCGTATCTCCACTTCATTTTTTGCCATGCTAGGAAAGGGAGGATTCGGAGATGTATATGATGGTGGGGATATAATAAGTAACAGCCGATTTCCGGGCCGCGAAATCGACTGTTATTTTTGGAATCTTTTTGATCATTTCTATCCGGTATAAGGAAATAGGGAATAACATCTCTCTTTCAGATAGTAGTAAAATGTCTGAGAATGGCTGAAAATTCAAACTCCGCTGAGGAGACTCAAGTAATCACTACAACATTTATGTTATTGGAGTGTAGTGTGTACTACGATCTTGTGATTTTTATGGGCTTCGGAGTACTACGATTGGCTTATCCCTATGTTAAATCAAAATACGGGACTGTGCAGCCCTCCGGCGAATCAATGCTCCCCGTAGGAGCGTCCAAAGCTCCTGGCGGTTTGCTTAACACCCCTGTAGCCACGTCCATATTGGTCCGCAGTGTAGTAGAGAGGAGGGCAGACAGTCAGTGATTGACGTAACGTCGCATGAGGCCGCTTTGGAGACTTTATTTTATGATGGTGAATTCGAGTGATGGTTGGCGCTGGGGGAGGATGTTGACGTCGATGCTTTGCATTACCGGCTAAGCGTTTTATTTGGTGACGTTTCATGCCGAATGAACGCAGCATGTACATGTATTGCAATTAATGTATATACAGTAACTTCCGGTTTCACGATCTACAAATTTCTCTGATCCGAGACTTATGCAGTTTTCTGATCACTTCGAAGCTAAATGTACTAAGTACATTGTACTTATCCTGATCTAACTAAGCCAACGTGACATTAGCAACGTCGCAGTTGTCACACTTCAAACTTACAAGCGTGTATCCCGTTTTGGAATTATGACGAGCAACATTGTTGCTACCCCAAGGGAGTATCTTTCCTATTAAGATTGCGTGTGCTCAGCCTCGCCGTGTCGCTATTGATATGAGTGTGGCTCAGGGGATGGACGTTACCCTTGGCGAAGAAGTTGGATTTACCATCGGGCAATAGTGGATATGGAGCTTTGCCAAATCACGCATGGTATGAGCAAAGACCCATTCAGCTTTGAGAAATACCGTTCCCCACGGTTCGATACATAACAATGAGGAATCAGCGCAATTGTCGAGCCACTTGCTTTTCATTGGGTTTTCAGCGGGAATTACAATGTTGTACTGGGGGGCATTTACCTGCTTCTGACATACTCGTGAAGGATTACTGTTCTGAGTCGCTGATCTCTCAAAATTGCCAGGGCCAGACCGACTAGATTTGCCTCGCAGCCAGGCAAATCTAGTCAGTCTGATCAGGTTAGATCCTGATTGCAGTCCTGATCTAACCTAGATATATAGGAGTTCTGCTGCGCCGGAGTCTATGGCTTGTATATATATGAAATCGAATAATTTTGTTTAGCATTTCCTCAGGAAATGCGGGCAGTCTCCTGCTGGGTTCCCCACATGTCTGCTCTAAAGTTTGTGTGAATTTTGTGAACATGGTGGGGAAATTTCTCAACCCAGTCGAGGGAGCGGAACAGATGTGTAAGACTTACATGCACAAACATGTGTAGGTCACTACTGGTTTGAATTCCCTTCTTGTATGTTCACTCTGACTCCATGGATCCTCCAGCCCCGGAGACTCTGCTGTACCTTGGTGCGCTAGACGAGGAAGGAGATCTGACCGAGTCCGGCAGGAACATGGCTGACTCCCCAGTCGAACCTCAAATGGTTCCGGTGCTCCTTAGAAACGGAAGATGCTTCCAAAGGGGGGTTCGAACTAGCGTAGTTTTTTTTTTCTGCACGAGCAGAATATGCGTATGTTGTTTCGAATATGCGCGAGCAGTAAATTTCTCTATAATGTCAGCTTAATATCAAGCTAATGTCCGAGTAATGTCTTGTTAATGTCGACTGAATGACATACTTACAAATCGAATCTCCCCATTATATAATACAAAGAAACTTTATACGTACAACCCGTAGCATTGTTGCGACTTCACTAGTATTAATCGATCCCCTACACCACTACATAACACAAATCAACCCGTGGTATCATGTGCGATAATATAATACGCAATTGATGAGAGAAAAGTGCCTCAGCAGCTTCATTTGTCCTTCTTCGTGGCGCTTGCCGTAATACCTGCAAACATACGCAGCATCATAAGACTCACAGCTGCTTCGTAACAACACAGCAACTTATCTAACCGCATACCGTTCGGATATGACCAAACGGTCGGGCTGGGGGGAGGATGGGGGACTGTCAGGAAATACCAACGAGAAGGCGGCGGGGAGGAGGAGGAGCGAAGCGTGTGAGGGAATCTCCCTTGAGAACTACCACCGAAGGATGCACCCACTGTATGCCCTGAAAAAAGAATGAATAAGCATTAATTTGGCTTTTATTAATCGCTAGAGAGTTCAGACTCGGGTTGTGTCGGGTTTGTGTCGGGTTGATGATTGTCGGCGGTGGTCCTTATCGTTTGTTATTGCATCTTTTAAGTTAGTTGTTGTTAGTGTTAGGCCGCCATTATGTCTTCAAGTGAAAAACCGTCCAGAAAGAGTCGTCGTATCCGTGGTATGTCTGCTACCAGTGAAGATGCCGCGGCCGCTGCTGCTGCCTCCGCGGCCGATGAGGCGTTCCCCGAGGGGTTCTCATCGTCGCATTCCTCCTCTTCCCTTCTCGGAGCGCCTGTGCAAGAGACTCAACCGCCGCCTCCTCCCCCCCCTCCTGTAGCCTCCCCGCAATCTCCCCAAATCGGTATGTCTCGTGTTCGGTTTCTTTGTCCGTTTATGCGTTTGGGTTCTGTATAATACAATATCTCAAATACTATTACCCTCAAACACAAATACTACAGCAACAGAAATACAGACTGTATTTCTGTTGCTGTAGTATTTGTGTCTGTACTAGGTACTGGTGCTGCTGCTGCCGTTGATGTTGGCCCTAACCTCAGTGGTGTGGATCCTGTGTTTGATTCGCCGCAAATGATTGAGGAGGTGAGGGGACTGGAGGAAGCTTTGGCGGCTTCCGCCGCTCCTGTGAGCGGTGAGGCCGAGGGCCCAGTACCCAGCACAGAGTTGCCACCTGGGTTGTCGTTCACCAGTATGTTACTTACCGGCCTGATCAACCTCGAGGCTACTGTGAATATTCTCAGTTCCAAGATGGATCGCATGCTAGGTTAGCCAAATTTCATTTCGGGTTTCGATTAGTCGGATTTGTTTTTTTCAGAGAGTCTTCTTGGCGGCCAGCCGGCAAGAGGCGGTCCGGCGGTTTCAGCTTTTCATACCGATGCCACCATCCCTCCAGCTGCGGAAGACTGGGGGAGTCCCTTTCGGGGAGGAGCATCCCGACGCTTAGGAATAAGTTCAATTCCGATTTACGGGAGCTGGTGGAGGGATTCCCCGTCAGTTTTGCGGACGGGGTTGCTCAGTATCTTCCGGAACCCGTGCTTCCCCCTTGGTTCTGGGACTCAGCGGTTTCAGGTGTGGGGCAAAGCCCTATACCCGGGGGTGCCATTGGTAGTGTCGATGTTGCTACTACTGCTGCTACCATTACGACTACTGCGGGGAGGGGGAAAAAGAGGAGGAGGACAACAACAACGGGAAGAGGATCGAGGGTTTCGGCTCGGCCCACCACTACTACTACTGCTGCTCGCAATGTGTCTTCTTCAAGGTCTTCTTCAGCTGTTGCTCGTGGTAATGTGGACGATGAAGAGGAGGAGGAATCCTCCTCCTGGAGGATGAAGTCGTGGAGGAGGAGGAGGAGGACGATGAGGAGGAGCAGCAAGGAGAAGAAGGGATTCATAACGATGATGAAAATAATGATAGTGATAATGATGCTGCCACAGTTACCGAATAGTCGTATTGTACACAGTCGGTACATCTTTTACTTGTCGCTTCGGTTGCTTCTCGCTCATTCTCGTTAGTGTTGTTGTTATTGTTGTAGTAGTCGGCACGATTGTACGGGTTTTCTGTATTACCGTTGTAGTCCTTCCTAGTAGTACTTGGATTCGTTTCGAAGGTTTTTTGTTTCGAGTACCGCGAACGTCTCTGTGTTGGGTTTAGTTTTCTGATTGTAGTAAATGTAGTAGTGATAGGGAATTAGTTCATCGACGTTTCTTCTGGTTCTCTCAATGGCGTGTGACAAAAAACTACCGTTTCGGTAAATCGGATCTTCTTCGGGATTGGTACACTCATCAAGGTAATAAGAGGTATATTTCTGTTCGACTATTGTGCCCAGGTTCCCAACTCTGTTAAGGCTTTGGTAGTATTCCTGTATGGTAATTTCGTCGACATGAGAACAACACTACACCATTTCCCGTGCAAGTTTGACAAGTGAGCAGACAAGAATGACAATGTTACCATCAAGAGTGACAATGAGAATCCAAGTTTGTCACAATTAAGTTCTGTTACAATCAAGTTTGACTTTGAGAATTCAAGTATGTCACAATCGGGATATGTTACCATCAAGATTGACAATGAAAATCCAAGTTTGTCAAAGTTCAATTATGTTACAATCAAGATTGACAGTGAGAATCCATGTTTGACACTTGTTTCCTCAGTTACAACCAAGTTTGACAGTGAGAATTCATGTTTGACACCGGCAGAATATATCAAAATCAAGAATGACAATAAACCATACAAGTTTGACAATACGCACACAAGTTTGACAATACACATCCAAGTTTGACATTGAAGAGGGTTTCTCTGTGATCAAAGCCTATATCAAGGACAAGTTGAGTGAGAGGGACCCG